CAGAGGAGTAAGGGAATCTCATTTCAGTATTTATTATTCTGTAAAAAACGTATGTGGCGCAGTGCCTGTGAAAATTATGATTATCAGCCATAAACAGATAAGACAATTTGCTTCAGAAATTAGTTTATTGATCTTTGGAACATTGCATTTATTTTCCAAAATAAACAACACTGCTTCTGGTAAATGGTGAAAAACACTTCAGCTTCTTTGTGATCAGGAAGGGCAATCTCCAGGGACAATGAGTCATGAAAACGTTAGTATATTTGGAACTTACTGTTCTACAATTACATTATTTTAATTGTTAGGATTTTTGATACCCAAATGGAAGCAATCATTATACTGCTTTTTTTATCCTGGAGATGGACACTCTACTAAAACAAAAATCTTAACCCAAATCTGTGTTAGCTAAGCGTACTTTAGCTAGCTTTAGGTCATAAACCCAAGATGAATACAAGTTACAAATTAATCTTTTATTAGCTTCTTTATTATTCTTTTATTAGTTTCATTATATTAGCAGGCAAAGTATTAGAGCAATGGTAAAGTGTAGCCTCAGGAAAGAATATTTGTAATCCTTTTGGGATGCTCCAGCCTGTAGATTTCTTGACTCATTATTGGCAGCATGCATTACTAATTGTTGAAGAGCTTATGTCTTCCTTTCATCAGACTTTCCACTATCTTCTTATTTATTTATTCGCAAATCGGAAAGAAGTAGGACCAAAGAAAACGAGATACGATAATAGTTAGAGGGGCAGATCAGTCATACGAGCGGCTCCAGGGGGAAGACCAGGGGATTAGGAACAAAGATCCAACAGCTCTGATTTCCTGGGAGAGTGGCTTTAATGAGTGTTGTAGGATGTGTAATTAGAGTGGTTTTAGCTGTGGAAAACATCACATAGATTTCAAAATGTGATTTCAGAAAATCAAGAATTTTGACTTTCGCACAGCTGTGTATCAGTGCAAAAGAGATGCTTGTCATTCCCAGTGTTTAATCTGAAGGAGTTCTGCAAAAGAAGAGCCAAGTATTTGGCTGGGACATAGGTGTTGACAATGTGTTGTAAAATTCAAAAGTGCAGAAGGGGCTGAGTGTGTAGTTCCAGTTCTGGTAGTGGCAGGAAGAAGCTGTCAGGAGGAATTAGCTGCAGCCCTGTCTCCTTGGACGGAGCCGCATCGTGCTCCGCTGCGGTTCGCTGTGGCATCGAGGAGTGGAGCCCCACTTCAAAAGGTTTTGAGTGGTGGTAGGAACTGCTTCCTGCAGACATTCACCTGTACTTCGTGTGTGACTGCTTTTGCAAGTTGTAAGTTGGAATTTTTTACATTTATCATGGGGCCTTGCTTAGGGATAGCTTCACGGGTAGCAAGAGGTCCTTGGCACTGAGCTCATTCAGGGTTTGTATGTTACTGATGTCCTCTCAAGAATAATCCCAAATTAGATGCTAGAGGATTTCTGTCATGGGCTGGTGGAATTTTCTGGTGCACTACTTGGAAATGTTGGGTCACTAGATGGATGAAGGGTATAAAGGGACAGAAAATGGAGGTGAGGAAAACTTGCTTATAGAACTGTAGGAACTGTTCAGACTAATGTATTTGGCTCTGATATTTGGCACAGACTATGTCTGTGTGTGCTAATTCAAGAGTGCCAATCTTCCTGACTCGGTGAGCTGCACAGGACTGATAACTATCTTGTGCTGAGAGGAGGAGAGGATGCTAGGAGAGGCTCACCAGCAGAGGTGATCTCTTCCCTGGAGATGACACAGCAATATTGTAGGGAAAGGCATGCAGCTGAATGGCAGGCACAGCAGGCAGTGTGCTGTGGTCAGCCCTTGCCAGGCTCTCAGCTTGTGTACCTGAAGATTTGAGTGTACCTAGTGTCCCTGTAGCAGGACAGCCTTCTTGAACACCACTCGCTGCTGAAACTGTAGATGGGCTGTTCTTCCTGGTTTTTTTCCCGTTTCGCTGATTCCCAAACTCCATGCCCTAAATGACCATCCACCGATAGTTGCTGTGAGCGGCCACATGCCTTTGCAAATCTTAGTGAAAAGCCATCTTAAATACACTGTGGTCCCACGGGCTGTTTATTCTGCCTCAAGTCACAGTTTAGGAGTGTAATTGATGTAGCCCAGTGAGTGGTGATATGAATTAGAACAAATCTTGCAGGGGAAAAAAAAAACCTAATCTGGATTTAGAGACTCCTAAAATGACGGGCATATCTGTTTCTTGGAAACATATTCATTACTTATTTGTCATTCAAAGCCAGTTAAAAAAAATGCAGCCAGCTAGAAGCTTTTGTACTAATAGGTCACTATCAAATTTATGACTTCAAAGCATAAGTGGGGTTTGGCTAGAGGTGGACTGTGTTAAGTGACACGATGAGAGAAAATGTGAGCTGTGAGCTTCAGTCAAGGTGTCTGTTGTGACCCATGGGTCGGCTGCAGGTAGTTCACTGCAGTTTGAAGCACTGTCTTCAGGAAAAATAGCATTGAATTGCCAAATAATATCAATGATACAGATACTAACTTAGAATATATGTGCATTTCAATTTATGAACATATCTCTCAAAGTGTGCAGGTTAAACACAATTATTTAGGCAGCTGTTTTTTCTGAAAGCACTCTCCTACAATTCCTTCCTGATTCTGAACTTAAACAGAAACAGTATATGGATTTTTCCATATTTATTTTATGTTATTTTGTTATTTGTAGATCTATAATGCTCCCCTCTCCCCAAGTAAATCAAAACATAATAAAACCTCACTTCTCACAGAATGTTGTTTTCTTCAAGTAAAACTAATAGCTAAACTCACGGTTTTACATTGATGCTGTTTACCTTTTAGTATCAGTTTAGCTATATGAAGGTAGCAGTTGTGTGTTTTTAATATTGTGATTGCGTGATATGAGAACATCAGTGATTCTCAGAAGATTTTGTTCCAAAAACAAAATAACTTTTATTAAACTGGAAGCTGAGTTGATCTTATGCTGGAAAAACTTAGAAGTGATCTTGTTCTTCTTCTGCACCCCATATTTAGTTGAGAAGTATTTTGATGCTAGTCAGTTTAAAAAAGAAACATCAGTAAGTATATTCTGCTATTATATACTCGGGATAAAATTTTTCTGTGAAATGTCTATTTAAAAAAGGAAATTCAATTACACCCAGTTTCTTTCATCCCTTTTTTTCTCCCAAATACCTTTTCCTCTGGCTGTTACTTTAATTATAGTTATGTCTAAGCAATGATTTTTGAAACAGAAGATGAATTAAATGCTTGGCAACCTCTTCTGCCCTTCTGACAAATTCCACCCCCTGGGCGGGTTGTGGTTTTTTGTTTGTTTGTTTGTTTGTTGTTTTTTTTTTGTTGTTGTTGTTGGTTTTTTTTTTTTGCCTTGGACTGAAATCCAGTTTTAATGCAATTGTGAATTACCATCTAGGTTGCATAGTTTTTGAATGACTGATTCTACAAACGCTTATTATTATACTCTTATTAGACATGGTAATAAAGAATATATTAATTGAAAAACCAGAGTTGGACCGTCATTCTTGGAAGTGTTTGTAAAGGTAATCCAAACCAACGGAATAACGCCTATTTCTATGAGTATAGCAGCTCTTTGCAGACTGGGAATGTGATAACTCATTTTTAAAACCTTCAAATGCCTCAAAAAATCTAAAGTCTAGTTTTGTGTGGGGGTGGCAGAGGTATCATGTAACTTACTTCACTCTTCCTTCTTGGCAGTGCCAGATAATCCGCCTTGTCATTTACAGTTGGTGTAGTGGTAACATGATGCCTGACTTCAATTCCAGTGTTAGTTGGAAACTGTCCACCTTGGATTCGAAGTCTTTTAGCGAAATTACCTCAGAATTGCAAAGTTTGACCTGTAAGGCATAAGAGGAGAGATTGTACCCAAGTAATACTTTTATGCACTTGCCAGCAGAGTCAAGAGTAGCACCCACATTGACGGTAACTGTCTTAGCAATGTCGAAGGCTGCCGTCATTGCTTGGGCAGGGTTTGTAGGAGAGGTAAAATGGTTTTTTCACCCATAGGGCTGTATATTTACCTCACTTCCTTAAAGTGCTGTGAAATCTCACTCTCTGAAGTGGTTTGTGTTTCATGAGGTAAGAGTTATTCTGTTTCAGTTTTAACCTTACGGATGCAATCAACAGTTGAAGGAGAAGGGAAAAGCTCTTTTCATATTGTATAGGATGTCCCATGGTGTGCTAGTGCATATATGAGCTTGATTGAGAATTGCTGTCCTAAAGACTTCCAGGGAGACTCAGGTTTGAGGGCTGCAGAATACAAACCAAGTTGGTAACACTGACAAACAGATCAGGACAGAGAAAGTTGTTGAATGTTCAGACTAATTTTATAGGTTGTATATTGAGAGTGTTCACGCTGCAGACACTGTTGGAGATTTATTTCTGGCCTTTTTTTTATTTAGAGTTTATCCCAAGCAAAATCTGTTGACTCGTTAAGGCACGTTTTGTTTCAAATGTTAATGTCTAATTGGTGTGTGGATTTGCCTTGCCAAAATTGCAGCTCCTCTAATGTTGAAGACAGCACTGCATTGTTTCAGAAGTTCATCAGGTGAAAGCATTAAGATTCTTTTTCCTTCCTTGCTGTTCACACCAGCCTGGTGAATTATAGGTCAATGGCTTAATAAAAAATATTTGTGTTGGGATTGTTATTACTCTGTCTGCAAAAATACTTTCTAATCTTTCCTGACAAGTATGGTTGTAAGAATGTAGCGATATGGTAATATGGTAGAGTTTGTGAAGATTTTTGTGAAGGACAGTTTCAGACAATCAAAGAAACAAAGGTGATAGCAACAATGCTTCCAAGAAGATCTCTGATGAGAAATGAAGATGGTCCACAAGGAATAAATCAGTCCTGAGCACAGTTCCACCTCCACATTTAGGTTTCTGAGGAAAGTAGAACAGCACAAATCTATAGCCTGAATTGTGAATTATTTACTTGTGTGAAGGTTGCTAATATCAACATCCCATTGCTTGTTCTAGAGCATTTCGTCCTCGCGAAGTAGAAGCTCATCTCTGCTGCCACCTGGGACAGTTAATTCTGCATCTCCAAGTGGCCAGAAACATCTGAATCAAAGTGGACCAACTGTTGTAACCATCACACATCACAAATCACCTGCAGCTGCTCGAAGAGCGAAGAGCCAGCGTTCTGGTCAACTCCATGAAGTCAGAGAGGTAAGAGATAAAAATGTGCTGTTTTGCTAGAACTTCTAAATGCTTATTTTGCTTTAGAATAAGTAATCAAGTCTGACAAATTAACAGTTCTCTTTGTTTCCTACTTTATGTTTGACAGTTTTGTTTTGATCCGCTCGCTGAGCAAAAGGTGGTCTTTAGTTCTGGTTCAGCTTAAAGTCTGGTGCATATGGGGTTTTTTATGGCGATGTTAAAACTAGTGTGCACACATGCTTAAAAGAGGAAGTAGGTTGGCCACAGCTCCCAGACTGTACAGTGGTGCTGCAGTGCTGGGGGAACATCTCTTAAGATGCATGCAGCAACACCTTACAGATTGGAAAGAGGGCCCCAAAGCATTTAAATATAACTGGAAAAAACCTGACTTGAGTAAGTCTGACGAATGAATGTGAAAGAAGGCACAGGTCCCCACACTCAGCAGTTTTTTTCTATATGGCTGTAGTCTTAATTTTGTCAAGTTTCTGTTGCTGGCCTTGTGATGGAAGACTGCTTTGTCCATATTAAATATGGAAGGTAAACAAGAAAGCATGTTTCTTTCAAAGCATGTTTGAGAGTTATACTCTTAAACTTGTGTATCAATTGTCTGTCTTCAAGACAACAAAAAAAGTACAGAGTTTTAAGCTTAAATAGTATGGCAGACTTTCACAGAATTCACTTTCATCTTTCTTTCATCCCTTGTTATTTTTACTTTGTCTGAATTTCTTGCTGTTCTCTATTAGTGCCTTTGTAGGTCCCCCTCCCACCCATTCTACCAAAGAAACTGTTGGCTGTCTAGTTGCTTTAAAGCATTCTTCTATCACATGGGTTTAAAATATCTACCCCCGTCCCTCAAGTTGCAATCTTAAGAGTCTGCTTTTAAGTTTATGCTGCCTAAATGTTTTATAAATGAAGACCTTTCATATTAAGACTTTGAATAAATTCTTAGTGTGTGCTCACAATGAAGACTCAAATTGCACATCTTAATGAACAATGCTTGTTTTTATTCTAGTAACACTAAAAGCAAAAACTTCCCTTGTATCCTCTATTGTATTAACATTCCTTGCTCTGAAGAGCACAGTCTGAATGTCACCCAGGTTGTCTTTACACTGTAAAAACCACACATCTGTTTGTTTTTCATGAGAATATCTTGTCTGTGCCTACCAATCACCTGCCCCAGGTTGTTTCTACTGTACTAAATGTATTTGCTCTCATAGGGTGAATTCAGAATGCACCTTAAACCTATTAATAAAATAAACAGTAGATGCTGTTGCAGCTTTGTTAAATGAAGCTGGGTTGGGCTGAAAGGAATTTAACAGAGTGAATTAGTGTAGGTGCTGATCATAATAAGTTGGGAAGGGAAAAAGTCAACAGAACTACACTTGGGAATGAAGAAATAAATACTAGTCTATAGTAAACCAGAGAATAAGTGGCTAAGTATCATCCCTGCAGAAGAGGCCTGGGGGTTGTTGACTCATTTGTTTGCAGTGTATTGCAACGCGATGTTGTTCCAAAAAGGTAAATGTTACAGGACTTTAATATGTAATCATGGAAGATAATTATTTTACTGTGTTTGATGTGAGTGATACCTCAGTTGCAGTACCAAATCTGTGAGAACAACTTAGAAGCTGCAATAAAAAAAAAAATCTTAAACGTTGAACATACGGTAATGATTGAAGGTTAAAAGAAATACGTGGTTTTTAGGGAGGGAAAATGGTACTAAGATAAACAACACATAAGAAAACTTTGTAAGGAAGTGTGTGAGCTTTACCTTTTAGTGTATTGGATTTTCATTTTTCATGTGTGTGTGCTGCTGCTTAAAGAAGAGCATATTAGTGGAAAAATGAGTCCTTTTGCCCTCTTTCCCACTCTCATATAAAAAGCGACTGCTTGGCTGATCTTGTTTCTATCTTGTGAAAGGATATGTCTGGTTTTCCAGATTTAGGGAGTTGACAGATTTCATTTCAGTGGCATATTCTGTGCACTTCCTTCTCCCCTCCCCTTTTCCAGAGTGAATGCAATGGACTTGGATATATGCTGCCTGCTTTTTCAGGGAATATTTTGCTTCTCTATATGAGCCGATGGTGATGGTTAGATCTACCCTCCCTTGATAAATTTTTTTCATAAGAGAAGGGTTCACAGGCCTTCACAAAAGTGCATTTAAATGTGTTCTAGTCTTTTTTTTTTTTAATCTGAAGTGAGGAGAAATAGGAACTAAAAGTCCAATAAGAAAGTTAATCCTCTCTCAACACCTAAATCTTTGCTTTTTATTTGGAATTTGTTTGGTATGATTTGGATGGAGGGAGGAGACTGCAAAAGGATGATTAATCTGTGTTAGTGTTCCCCTTATAGAATTAAGTTATTGAAGCTTTGACATGCAAATAAGCTTTTTTTTTTTTACTGTACTATAAATAGGACTACAGTAACTGATTTTACATCTTGTAAAATACATTAATTGAATTAATGGAAAGAGTTGATATGCTTCTGGAAAATAAAATAAAACGTGTATTTTAACTTTTAAAGTAATCTTATGATAATACTACAAAAGGGGCATCCTTCACTTGGGACATATGGTCTTCACAAGTTTGTACAATGTCCTTGGGCAGTGCTGAACTTGAAATTGCTACTTAATTCTGGACCATTTTTTCTTGATTTGGCCACGTTGTTTGGAAACAGTGAACTTTTATCTCCATGTTGCAAGGAAGACAAAATGCACTCCTATATTTGACATAACACAGTGATATTTGGTAATACTTGGTTGTTCTTTTTTTTCCCTTTTTTTTTTCATAGTAAGAATAAACAACACAGTTTCTTTCTGTTGTTTGTTCTAGCTGATTTATTTTTTTTTTTTTTAGACAGCATAGAGAATTTTAGTGTAAAACAGATTGTAGCAAAGAGGTCTATTGAACACCAAACTGATGTGCAAAATTCTATAACGGAAGTAAATGCAACTCTGTAGGTCTCCAAAATGACACATGTAATAAATGTTTCTGTTGTGAAATTAGAACTTTACATTTTTTCAGAATTTTGGTAAATTAAAATTTGACACAAATATGGAGCTTTTGACTGCTATAAAACTTCTAATATTCAAGCTACTTTTGTATAGCACTGAATTGAAAAGGAGTTCAGGAGCATTACTTTTCATCATATTGTAATATTTTTGTTTAAAATAATATTGTTCTCTTAAATCAGACTTTTGCTTATATTATCTTGATGTTAATAGTAGAGTTGTACTCATTTATGGAGTATTATATCAAAACTAAAATTCACCCTGCATTAATTTGGGAGAGCTGATCTGCTATGTGTTGCATTTTATGCAGAATTATTTGAGATCCTACTGCTTTATTTGGGCCATAACTTATCATTAAAGTGGTGCTTTCAACTGATTTATTTTTTTTTAATAAGTGATTTTATTGTAACCTAAGTGTGTGTGATCTTGAAATTGAATTCTGTTTTTTAAACTATGCATATTATTATCCTCTTAGCAATTTGTGCTAAGAGCTATGCTTGCAGAATTCTTTACTACAGGCGGTTAAAATTAACTGGAACATAAAGACAAGTGGCCACATCACACTTTATATTAAATTGTAGCTGTCACTGCACTAGATAATAATGGCACACTTCATCTTGGAATGGTGTTTATTTTGGCTGAGAATGCCTGACTGTTGTATGACCTCTGCCAGTGTTAATGTTGTTGTTAAAGAAACAAGAATTGCAGTATGTAGTAACTTACGTTAATTATTTACAGAAGTTTAGATAAATGAAATGGAGTTAACTGAAAGAAGTCTAGAGAAATATTTTTTTTCCATAATGTTAAAAAGTCAGTAGAGAAATTTCTGATCTTTTGGAAATGTGGTGTTTGTTACAACTTTTGATACTCTACAGTGGACTAGTCATCAGCATGTGTTTCTGAACATCTGGTACAGTGAGACTCAGATTTCATGGGGCCTCCACCAATGTGTCATCTATTTGATGTGCCAGTGGGCAGTTCCAGAGTTTGGAAAGGACTGCTTTTTGGTAAGATGACAGTCCTACTGCTTCTTGCATGTCCTTTGCCATATATAACATCGTTACTGTTTGATTCCTGCAGGAATTATGCAACTACCTGATAGTTCTTTGCTTCCTCACACTATAGGAAAATTTAGGACTTGCACATCGGGCTTCATGCAATGAGTTTTACCTGCAATTTTGTGGGGCTGCAGTTGTCCAATTTTACATGGTTAGTAGGAGAAAGAGATGATCCTAAAACACTTTGGGGATTTTCAAGAGAGAAGTGAACATCTTCAGGTCACTGTAATATTTGGATAGTGAAATTAGGAGCTGTGACTAGTTACTGTCAGCAAAAAAAGACGCTGTTGTCTGTGGGGAACTGTTTCTTCTGTTACAGAATTCTAGCACTGCGTAGGCAGAGTTGTAGGTGAAAAAGCAGAGGCAGTACTAAACCACTTGGGGAAGCATTCAGACTTGCAGGACTTTCACATATGGGAACACACAAAGACCTGCACTAAGCTGTGAGTGTGGTGATGGTCAAACATAGTAATCAGTGTTTAAGTTGGTAGTAGGGGAAAACCTGACAATTTTCGTTCCATGCCAAATTTTACTTTTCAGCTTTGAAAAAGTCTAGTTTTGCTTTTTATTTCATGTTTTTATCCTTCTTTCGTTTCTCTGGAAGTATGTTCCTAAACAGATCAATGGATAAAATTAATCTAATGCCAGTTCTAGCAAAAAGAATGCTGTAGCTCTTGATGTTTGGCATAGCATTGAGGTTACGTGAGGTGTGATAAGGGCACATGTGAAAAAATTGGTTCGGATCCTTGAACAGGACTTCATGCATAAACTGTGAAGTATGCACAGAGAACATTTAAAAAAATCCTGCTAATAACTGAAGTGTTTTTGAAAGTATAAGTATGTGTATAATTTTGATTAGTTTGATAAACTTCTATGTAAGTAGGGAGAAGTGCTAAATATTGTATGTGTTGCTTTCGCTGAAAGTTCTCATCTTGGTTTCG